CCGCCACTACTTACCAGCTTGGAGGTGGCTGCAGCTCCCTGCTGCAGAAAGGCTTTGTTGACTACCATAGTAGGTAAATGAAGCACTCACTGCCCATAGTTTGGCTTTTGGCCTTTCTCTAGTCACAGCTATGGCACATTTAGCCATGCAAAATGCACATATATCTATTGATAGTACTGCTTCTGTATTTGTAAAGGACCCATTTCCTTCTCCTCCCTGGCCTGAAAACTAATTTCACAGAGAGTATCTGAATCAAACAGCAAAATCCCTGACACAAGATTAATATTTCAGATCAGCATTTCAGACCCTTAAAGTGCACTAAAAATGCTTGAAAAAAAAGGAAACAGAAGAGATGTGTACAGTTTACCTTTGACCCGAGTAAATCTAGAAACTGCAAAAGTCCATCTGTACATCCTGACCAAACAATACAACTCTTTTTTAGGATCATAAGTCAATAGGAACAAAACAAGAACTTTTTATCCAGGGTACTAGGCAAGTTTTACTATGCACAAAGAAAAGTGAAAATAAAGTCCTAAATCAGCATTAAAATTATTGTGAAACCTACACATGAAGACAAATAATTTGAGTCAATGAATTCATAAAATTAGAAGCAAATTGGGAAACTGGAGGAAAATGTAAAGCTATAAAGCAATGGAATAAAGTTCCTATTTCTTGAGATATTTTTTGTTCTTGCAGATGATACTTTTATACAGGAAAGTGGAGAAGTTTAATCAGGCTTTAGTGACCATACCTTAAGTTATAATATTTAATTAATTAGCAAAGCCAGTGAGAAGTAATGTGGTCTTGTACCCTGGGAACTGGACTAGCAGATAAAGTTCAGAACAAGGAAGCTATGTGACCTTTGGCATTACTCCACTTTTTTTACTTGTGCTTCTACTTCCTTTCCCACCCATTCTTTGTCAGCCTTGTCTCTTCAGACTGTAAACTTTCTGGGGTAGTGCCTGCATCTCTGGCCCCCTTCTACACATTGTGTGTATTACACAATTAACACAATTAATTTAGACTGGGTACATGTGCAAAGTAACTTTTACATGGACTCGATGATCTTCCGAGGTCCCTTCCAGCCCTAATGTCTATGAAACCATAAAAGGGCCCATCCAGCTATGAAGTTAGAGCAGGAAAATGTGCAATAACTGTATAGCTGGTTGTAGCAGGGTCCCCCTATCAACTGACAGGACATGAAGCTGCAGGGGTGCATCATGTGTGCCAGGGCTGGGACTCCTGCAGTTGAGGGGATGCTGAGCCCCAGCAACACACCATAACTGCCAGGACAGAGAGGCACATAGCTGACAGGATTCTCCAACCCAGCAGCACCCATGGGTTGCTGCTGGGACCAAGAGTCTGCAAGTGCAGGACTTTTGGTTCCAGCTATCACGGGGCACTGCCATGACAGAGTTCCATCAACTAAAGGACTCACAGCTGCAGGAGCTTACTACTTGCCAGTGCAGGGAGGGCGCCTGGGATGGCAATCCTGGGCTCCCCCTCCACCAGTAATAAGGATGTGATAGGATCTGATCCTGGATCTCAAAATCAAGCCTCCTGCTGTGCACATAGGATCATGCATCTGATCCTATCACACCTTTACCTGAATGTCTAGTACAGCAGTTCTGAACCTGTTTCAGTCGCTGTACCCCTTCGTCTCAGAGTGAGACTTCACATACCCCCTTTCAGTGGGAAATTAATTTTTTTAGGCCCTTCGACCTGTGTTACACAATGTAGGAAATACATCTCATGTACCCCCTGGAGGTACATGTACCTTCAGTTCAGAACTGCTGGTGTAGAAGGACCCTTAGAAGCACAATAGGCCCTGACCTCAGGAAGAGCCTCGAGCACTATTATAAGATGTATTAATCATCAAGATCTTCATCCTAGATGTACATAGGCAGGGCATGGATTTGTATTTTGCATTTCATAAAATCAATAACATATTAGATGTAAAAGTAAGAACATGATACAAGTTTCTGTAAAAGGAAGAATATAGGTTTCATTTACTTACCTTGATAGTAATAATTTACCCTGAAGTTTCAAATCAGCAGCACAATCATCTGATTGACAATTCCTCTCAAAAACAGTCTGTGAAAAACAAAGAAGAGAGATATCACAGTACCAAACGTAGACAAGGGTAAACTTCAAGAGATTCAGAGACAGCCAAATCTCGTTTTTATCTGAACTTTTCGCATGCTGGCAAAACAGAGCAGAAAGCTCCCCAGAAACAGACACCCTCAAGGCTTTCCCTTTTGGCCAGGTCAGAATTATCTCCTGCACAATATTTTTGACATTCCTGTTTCTGGTTCCAACATGTATATATAAAAAATGAAAGATAAATGTGGAAAATGCAAGCTCTGGAGAACATTTGGGCTTGCGTAGAGTTTAAAGAAGCAGAGAGATTTGAAACAAGAAGGAAATATTAATCAAAACTCTTCACGCATCTGTAACTGAAGTAAGATTTTTCCTTTTCATTGTAATATTATTTATATTAAGAAAACATATCATTCCCGTACACACGGCAAGCTATTGGAACTGTCAAATTACTGACAAAACATTCTACAACTAAGACTTCCAGAATAATGTAACTACTGTCCAACCTAACGAACTATTGTACAATCCAGTGGTAGTTGACAATGCATGCGGTAAAATAAAATTTATCAGTGAAATCAACAACAGAAAAAAAGACCACAATCATTGACTGCTCACTGTGCCTAGGCATGACAAGTTTTACTAGTTGTGGAAGTGATGTCCTTCCACAAAATAAAGGCAAAGGAGGCAGGTAGAAGAGGGTACATAGTTTTGAATTCCACATTCCCTTACATATGGCCATGCTGATCTCTGTAGCAATTCAGATGTGAGGAGCAATGGTAGATAAGACTGCCCGTGGTACCTGGGTCTATCAAGCCTGAATCCTGTTAAGAGACTCCCAGAGGAATGTGGTCACAGTCTTAAACAGGTGGAAAGAATAGAGACCATTGCCCAATTGCATAGACTATCAGGCCATTTAAGGAAGAGGCTGAAGAATGACTTTAAAAGGACTAAAATACCAGTGAGGTCCTCATCTTACTTGGATGATGCATACAAAGCACAGAGCCTGTTCTCATTCTGACTGACTCTTCAAGTGTCTTGAGCAGGAGTGAGGCCAAATTACTAACTGTTGCTCTAAGGCAGTGGTGTTCAGCCTATTCAGTCCTGTGGGCTGGATCAGTGGTGCAGGGCTTGTCTGCACGACAGCGGGCTGGAAACAACTCAAGGTTGGTCTGTGTGCGCACTCCGGCACACTAGCCTGGCTCTATATGGATGGATCTAAATGCTCACTGGCCCAGCTGCACATCCAGATCCAGGCACCAGCATGGTCCAGTGCACAGGATTGTCATCTAGTCAATGAGGTTCCCTACAGATCCAAAAAGTTGGTAGCAGGAGATAGGGAATTAATGCTAACACTGCTCCCCATCTGACACATTTCTGGACCTGTGGGGAGACCCACAAACCAGATAGCATGGCTCCATGGGCAGACTGGCCCAGTCCTAGAAAGAAAAAAGAGGCGAGCAGTTCAGGGGACCATCTGTTATGTTCATTTTCTTTTTCTCTTTCCTATTTTTTTGTTTTCTCAAAACTTTACAAATGGGAAAACTCATAAAGAACTCATCTTTGAAAGGTAAGCTTCTTTTCTTTGCCATGGAGGACAACTGTCCTGCCTGGATGAGAAGGATCCCATTCTTAGGATAAAATAATTTTGAGAGATGTCACTCACTTTAATATAAGTACATTTCAGAGAAATGACCCTTTAATCTCCATGGTCAGAATTTCTGGGCTAAATGCTGTGGTATATACTTACAAAAGCTATACTTTTACCTCTTAAGAAAAAGGTGATATAAACTGTAATAATCTTCTCAGTCAACATTTGATTAAAAGAATGCTTTTCTTACCACTAAACTGGATAGAGGTCAGTCCCATACTATATGTGAAAGGATGACTTGGGAATTAGTGCTAACAACACAAGCACACATATAGGTAAAAGTCTTCAAACCCCTTTTGCTCTTACTGAGTTTTTATCCCAGGCACATCATTATGTTATCTGGTAGAGTTAGGTTTCCAGGTCCACATTTAGCCGCCTGAATAAGGGACCTGATTTTCAAAGGTACTGAGAACCTAACAGCTCTCATCTATTTCACTGAGAGCTGTTGTGTGTTCCGGGTTTTTGGTTGTAGCTGTGTTGGTCTAAGGACATAGGGAGGTAGGCTTCTTTGGGTAGGTATGATATTTTTTATTAGACTAAGTGAATAGTTGGAAAAAAGTTCGGGCTGTTCCAAGATCTCCAAGGAATGTTCCTGCATTCCTTGCAGTCTCAGACCAACAGAGACTCCCGAAACATGAAGAAGGGTGACTGCACCCAAAAGCTTGCAAAGAACTTTTTTTCCAACTACTCACTTGGTTTAATAGAAGATATCACATCTACCCAAAGAAGTTTGCCTGCCTACTGTGTGGTCAGCAGTTTTGAAAATCAGGCCACAAGTTCAAATACCTAACTGTGGATTCAGGAAGCTCAGCCTCCACTTTTTTTAAACCTTGGATGAAATTTTCAAATTGTGCTGAAAATGAAGCTGTGAGATAGACATGCCTGTTGATTATTAGGTGAAGAAACTGTTCTGGAACCTACCCTGACACCCTCCACTTCACTGCACTGTTCACAGGATTTGCCTATTAAACTACGTAGCCCAAAGCCAAGTACACAAAAGACTGAATTCAGCTTCATCCAGGAAAGCACTTAATGTTCTGAAAATCCTTTCCTAGCACTGGCTAAAACAAGAGCAAATTATTTATTATTTACAGAATCTCTATAGTGAATATGGGAGCAAAGGCAACACAGGGGAGTGAAGTCCATACGGGCTGCAAAGGTTCAGAAGGATACTGACCATTGAAAGATACTAAAACAAAACAGCTGCATCAATACAGTACGGTACAGAACAGGAGGGTCTGAAATAAGCTAGGAGGCTCTTCTGCCTGTGTTCCCATGAAGTACTACATTTGCACACAAAGAAAACAACTGTACTTTTACAATGCATTAGGAAAGCAAATGGAAACAGAAGCTGGCCAGCAATTATTATTTTACTAAACCTGAATAAAATTACTTGATGAATTAAACTACTCTAACCAGGTGAAACAGAGAGGAATAAATCTGCTTTACTAAGTGAGAAGCTCTGTAATACAGGCTCAGTACTTATATACTGATATTTATAGTGTCAGGTAAGATTCAATTTAATACGTTTTTCTCCTTCCTATAAAATCTGGTTTTGAATGTCAGTTCAGTCCTCCTACCTGTCCTTTTTACCAGGTTATAGCAGGCATGGCCTCCTATAAACATGGGCACAGTCACCAAAACAAAGATAGAATACTGGGCAAATAGGAGAAAAAGAAGAGAAAAAACTTTAAGGAAGCGGGGTGTCAGGGAAATAGATCAGTAAAAAAAACCCTTTTATCTAGCTATTGGAAACTCCAAGTACAAATTAACAAGCATAAATGTATCCACTGCCCATCCCTAAAGATGTGAAATGGCATAGATATAAAGTTGGCAGAATGCAGGGTAAGGTGGCACCTTAGAGACTAACTAGTTCAGAAAGGTATACGCTTTAGGATATAGTCTACATCATCACATCTCCAATGGAAACTTATTCACCTCTGAACCAGACACCCCTGTTGAGAATCATGGGTCTTAAGTCCATGAGTTCTCAACCTAAGGGGAATGAAGATGTGCAACAGGGTCTTGAGTATCCTGCCTTTTGCACTGTTAACAAATTAAGAATTGCAGAGCTTATCTACCATTGCATGAGAATAAGCTTAGCAAAATTAAGATGCCATGTATTAAAGTCAATGGTCTCTCTAATATTATTCAAGACAGCTCATTAAAAACATTTCAGAGTTACAATACAGCCTCACACCTACTATTCAAATTCAGATCTGACTTGTTTCTGGAAGTGTAACACTTTCCTTTATTAAGAAAAAGAAAAGTAAGTTCAGTCTTGGCCTGATCCAGTATGGACTCAGGGTAGGGTCTGTGTTTGCTTCACTGGCATGAACAGTACACACTCATGGCCAGTTCAGGATTGGTTCTAACAGTTAACCCCAGAATCACAACTATAGTACAAAGAAAGACAATTGAGAGTTGGGTGGTATTAACTGCTTTAGGGAAAATATTTTTAATTAAACAATGAGAGAAGGACACCTCCTGGAATGAAATGAAATGCTGATGCAGATCTCTGGAAGAACAAAAGTGGGACAATGATTTGGATCCTATCCCAGAGAGGAAAAATAGTCAAGCAGTTAGGACATTAGTCTGGAACTCAAGAGACCCCTACTCTACCAAGCCTGTACAAGTCACATAGTCTGTCTGTGTCTCAATTTCTACTGCGTAAAATGGGGAAAAGAGCACTTCCCCCTATGTTACAAGACCATTTGTGAGAAGAAATACACAAAACAGAGATCATGGCAATTAGGGCTGTGCGAAGCTTTGGTCCCTGATTCAATTTGGCAGAGATTCAGTCCGATTCAGTGGCCAAATCTCCAAATTCAAATTGAATCAGGAGACCCTTAAATCTCTCTGAATCGAAACAGAACCCTCCGAAATGATCTGGAGAGATTCGGAAAGATTTGATGATTGGGACATAGACACAGCTTTAAATGTTTTTTCTACATAGCTTGAGGTACGAGGCATGGCTCATGAACGCTGTGATGCTGTGGCAGATGGAGTGTCCCACAGGAGCGTGGGTGAGCCCCCCACGTGCTCAGCGGTGAACCCAGAAGTGGACTGGAAGTACTTCCAGTCCACTTCTGGGTCCACCAGAGAGCATGCAGGAGGCCCCCCCCATGCCTCCCCCAGCTTGGCAACTGGTGCCTTCTGAGTCAAGGAGGTACCTGGGGTCCCGCATGGCCAATCTCTGAGCCGGGGAAGCATGGAGGGACCCCCCCGTGCACTCCCCAGTGGACCTGGAAATTGACTGGAAGTACTTCCAGTCCACTTCTGGGTTCACCGCCAAGCACGCGGGAGCACCCCCACACACACTCCTGAGGGACACTCCATCCACTTC